TCTTCTGAGCCAGAGTCTCCACTGTTAATAAGTGCAGGGAGTTTGGGGAGCCCTGTAAGATAGGGATGTGCCATTTTCCCCATTTTAAAGGTGGGGAACTAAGGCAACTTGCCCAGGGGTACACAGAAGTCTGTGCAAAAGCAGGAAATTGTACCAGGATCTCCCAAGCCCCCAGACCTTCCTTTTTAAAAAAAAAAAAAACTGTAAGCATTTAATCACAGTTTGGGAAACTTCCAATGGACTGATTTCATCAATTGAGGTTCCAATATTAAATCCCAAATCCAGACTTTAAGATTCAGCCCATTATGTTAATAAATTAAATCATACAAGAAAGGAGTTTGGATTAACAAAGGTAAGAGCGACATATTTGTAAATGCATATGGCTTTTTCCTTAATTTTAAATCATATTTTTTTCTCTGTTGTTTCCAACTGCTGATCAGTACTTGACAGAACAATAAAATAATCTCATCAGAACAGTTCCCTGAAACCTTTCAGGGAACACATGGCCTGCATCACCATGTGTATGTTCTCTTGCATAATGGAGATAATAATGCTGTATAATTGAAATCCTGGCTCTACTGAATGAAATAAAAGTTATTACAATAATAGCTTTCCAATAAAGACATTTGATTTCTTTTTATCTTTACTGAAAAGGAAGAAAATAGAGAAGACATTTCATTGATTTTTAATGAGGTGGTATTTTATTCAACAGATTACAATCCAGTACATGTTCTTGGGATTTGCAGTTTTATGTGTTCCAACAAAATAATCTAAGAAACCTTTAGTCAACTAACTTGCTGTAATTTGATAAATCAAGAGAAACTCTTGAGGGTTAACTCAGAGAAGCACTTTAAACTTGCTTCCAAGAAGCGAGGGGGCTATTATTTTGAGGAGGTGTCAAAGACTAGAGAAAAATTGAGAGAAATCCAGAACAGTAATCCAGACAGCATAGCACTAGTCAAATAGAGGAGCAAGAGGGAGAAATAGTTAGTTCTAACTTGGCTGAAAAAAGATCAAGAAATGTAGGAGAAGAAAAGCACTGGAGTAGATAGTCAGAGGTCAGTGGGAGCTTTGACTTGAGTTAGAAAGATTGCAGGGTTTTGCCCTATTACAGGATCTCTTTTAACCAATCAAATTTAAAATGTGTATTAAATTAAAGGATCATGGTATGAGGCACTGCCATCTCACACCTGGGATGGCTGCAAACTCATTCTAGACCGAGAGGCCTGCACCAAAGTCTGTTTGTGCTCTACCCTGGCCAGAAGGCCAGAGCCCCTTATAAACTGTTACATGCAGTCTGCCCAGTGGCGGCTCTATGTTTTTTGCCGCCCCAAGCACGGCAGTCAGGCGGCCTTTGGCAGCACCCCTGTGGGCAGTCCGCTGGTCACGCAAATTCAGCGGCGTTTCTGCGGGTGATCTGCCGGTCCCGCGCCTTCGGGGTACCCACCGCCAAATTCCCGCCAAAGCCACGGGACTGACGGACCTCCCGCAGGCATGCCCCCCCCGCGGCTTGCCACCCCAGGCACGTGCTTGCTGCGCTGGTGCGTGGAGCCGCCCCTGACTCTGGCCCTGCCAGGAGGCTATGGGCTAAAGACTGTTTGTGCTTTGCCTTTCTCAGACGGCAAGAGCTTCCCCCATAGACTCTTGATTATTGTCTTCCTGTAGTGAGGCAGAGTGGCCTCCCTCGCCACTCAAGAGTGAGGGACCACTACAATTGGTGGAGAATTCAGGCATCGTCCCACCCCTGAAACAAGGGGACAAGCCCAGAGAAGCAGCATATCAAATCCCCCCCCATCTGTCAGATGATAGAACGGGGAACCTTCCCAACCAGGAAGGCTGGAGGTCAAGAAGCTCACCAAGTGCCAACAGCAGAGGCATACAGTGCAGCTTGTGCAGCAGCAGCAATGCTGCAACAGCTCAGGAACCAGCAACAGCAACTCATTCAAGAGCTGGGGGGCCAACACTACCACAAAGGATGGCAGTGCTTGCAGCAGCTGGCCGTGTTGATACCAATACCCAGCAGCTCCAATCCTGGGGGAGCAGTGGCCCCGAATATCCCCATGGTGCCTTTGAGCCTGACAAATATGGGTCCCAGAGGTGACCTGGAGACCTTCCTCAGTTTCAGCTGAGTCTGGACCGGGGAATCTTGGGCATGTAAGCAGACACCGGGGCCAAGTGACGACCCTGTTAGATATGGATGGAATTTGGATCTCCACCCTCGTCAACTCTTGTTGTGGACCGACTCTGGTATGTCAGGACCTTGTCAAGCCCCCAGAACCATAGTTGGGGGTCATTTTGCTGCAGTGTATCATGGGGAGGCCTGGATCACCTTGACTGTGAGGGGGGGATACAAGGATTATGACAGTGGGCCTGGCACCAAGGCTGGCCTAGCCCATCATCTTAGGTCAAGACTGGAGCAGCTTCTTGGGGGTCCTGCACACCGTGAGCCTCGAGTCCTAAGAACCCCAGGGTGTCTTTGAGGGAGAAGTCCTGGAAGGGACAGACTGGGCACCCAGGAACCTCAACCCAAGCAAGCAGCAATACCTCAAGGCCGACCAGGACCTTCCTGATGAAGGGGTTGATCATGGGCCTCTCACTCATGGTGAACCCCCTGGTTTAGGCTCAGACTTTAACAGTGACTAGTGGGAGGACCCCACCCTTGGACAGGCCTATGAACAGTTGACTCATGTTGATGGGAAGACCATGGAACACTGCCCACCCCCAGGCAATGCAGTATCCCCACTTCTAGTTGACAGGCAACTGCCTCGAGTGAGTTGATCGTGACTCCTGGACCCAGGACATCCAGACCCAGCTGGTAGTCCCCCCATGCCACTGATGGGCCATCTTGCAGCTTGCCCACACCATTCCCGTGATGGGACATCTGGGGCATGAGAAGACCTTAGCCCAGATCCTGACACGGTTCTTCTGGCCCAGGATACACCGGGAGGTAAAGGATTTTTGTGACTTCTGTCCAGAGTGTCAACTCACAGCCCTGCGAGGGATACTGAAGGCTTCCCTTGTCCCCCTGCCGGTGATCGACTCCCCCTACAAGAGAGTTGCAATGGACCTGGTAGAACCCCTCCTGAAGAAAGTCATGGGGTTCCAATATTTCCTGACCATTCTCAGCTACACCACCCAGTTCCTGGAGGCGATCCCCCTCCAGAATGTCACGGTGAAAACTGTGGCTGCATAGCTCTTTAGAATCTTTCCCCGGGTGTCTCTCCCCAAGGAAGTCCTGACAGACCAAGGTACCAATTTCACCTCATAACTGTTCCAACAGGTCTGTGGCCTGTTACGAATAAAAAAAAGCTACAAATGTCCATTTATCACCCACTGACTGATGGGTTAGTAGGGCAGTTTAATTGAGCCCTTAAAGAGATGTTGAAGTTTCCGCCAGAAAATCTTTGCCACTGGAACCAGTTTATCCCTCCCCTATTACTAGCCCTTAGAGAAGTTCCCCCGTCCTCAAGAAAACTGAAGATGTCAGGGAGGTTGCACAGAGTATAAATCAGGGCAGAATTGTGACTCAGTGTATTTTTGGTATACTTCATTATTATGTTCCTACAAATGCCTGTGAGGCCAAGTAACTGCTAGGATGGAATTTTTCAAATACATGAATGTGTCATTACAGTAAAACAATCTGAAACAATGCTACTGTACTGAAAATTGGGTGTGTAGTAAGGGTGCATTCCCTTTCCAGATTGCTTTTTAAGCAAGCTGGTTTGAATGGACTTGTAACTAGGAACAGACCTATGTTACTAAGATTGCATCTTGAATTGAATCCAGAGTTAACCTTCTCCCAAAGGTTGGGGGTTTAGTTTTTACAGCCCAATGCTCTATTCTATTATACCACTTTTATACTAGCCTAGCTCCGTTAAATTCAATAAAGTGCAACTGGCATAGAACTGATGTGACAGTGGAGAATCACACCCACTGGGTTCTGGTTCAGCTATTAAAGAACCTGGCTCAGGACACAGAAGTTCAGATCAGAATTTATCATCAGTTTTGGGGGAGTTGAATTTCATATCCGGAGTTAGGTATGCAGTTGGGAGAGAACTATAAGTACTGGAGAATTGCTTCACCACTGCCTTGCATTTGTGTAGCCACTTATCTCAATGCAAAGTGAATGTAAGATGCTCCCATATTAGAATGGTAGTATATTATCCTGACATTGCACAGATGTAATAATTACACAAAGTGTGAGTCAATGGAGAATAAATGCACTGCTTTTCTGCTCAGCTGAAATTCTCAAGCTGGCTAGGTTTTTGTATGCTATTCCGTAGTCAGGTTTAAAAACATTGAGGTTTTTTTAGAGAAAAAATTCTAACCACCAAGACATACACACTAGCCCCCAAGTAACCGAACAATCCTATTGTACTTGATCTTTCCATTCCTGTCCCTCTGAGTTGTTGTCTCTTCCATTCTTAATTTAGAGCTAGGCTTCGCCATTTTCACATTAAGTAATATCTTATTTCACAAATAGCTCCATCAAGTCCTTTGACTTTAAATTCTTCTAGATAGAGAATTCACCTCTATTTATTCTGTAAAGCCCAGTGTACATGATACTGTTATTTCCCCCTAAAATACAGAACTGTGCTACACATGTTTCAATTGACTATTGTTGGACACCGCATAATAAAATTTAACTCTCTTTTAAAAATGGCAGTGCAAGACTTTTGAGTAGTGGCATTGAAAAACAGAAATCTGATAACTCACTGTCATTAAAATCATTAATCTGGACCTTTCATTGCTATTCAGGCATCTTAAATGAAATATTTCAAGCAGTGTGTGTCAGAGTGAAGGTAGTACCTGGTTTTTGTGGGAGGTTTTTTTGGTGTTTGTTTCTGTTCTTTTCCTTTAGATGTCAAACCTCAAAAATCTTTGAATAAATACCCACTATTCTCTGAACCAGTACTACCAGACATAATCATTTTTAAATTTTTATTCAGAGAAACACAATGAGTATCTTAAAAATGTCTCACTTTTTTTCCTCCTCCTAGAAATATGAATACATCATCAGCGATGTTATCCACTGGAAATGGGCCATTTGTAAAAGTCACCAAAGCAGCTAACCAGAGCCTAATACTTACACCAAGGTAGGCATCAATGCATCTTTCTCCCATTAAGGATCAAATTGATCATAGTGGTAAATAAAAATAAATATAATAATAAATGTCTTGTTCTACTTTACTTTACTTGAGAGCCAGTGTGGTCTAGTATATAAGGCACTGCTCTGAAAGCCAGGAGACCTAGATTCTATTCCATCTCTGTCACTGACTTTGTGTGACCTTGGGCAAGTCATTGCATGTCTCTGTTTCCGCTGCCATGTGTTGTGTATTGTAAGCTTTTGGGGCAGGGACTTTTTCTATGTGTTTGTCTATTACAGTCTTGGTTAGGGCATCTAGGTGCTACTGTGGTTTCAATAATAAATAGTACTGTTCTTGCATAGCATTTTGTATCCATAGGTCTCAAAGTACATTAAGTATCATTAACCCCATTTTACAGATGGAGAATAAGGGGTCCAGAGAAGTGAGGTGACTTGGCCAATGTCATCGCTCAGATTGATGGCAAGAATAGAAGAACCCAGATCTCTTAAGTCCCAGTCCAGTGTTCTATCTTGTAGCCCACACTGCTTCTCATATTAAATATAAAATGTTAGGAAAATACTGAAAACAGGTAGTTTGGGACAAAATCCATAACAAGAACAGAGATCAATACAAATGTAATAGCCAGCTAGGAAAAAAAAAGTCCTTCTCTTCCTAGTTGGATATGTTTTAAGGCAAGTGGTAGTAACCAAAATAAAATGAGGCCTGTATAGTTCTTCTGGCTTTGTCTCCATATCTTTCTCATGGAAATCAGCTCATTAAGCGAAGAGCTGTTCAGAACCATCTCCTACCCCTAATCTGTTTTACCCTATATTATATCTGATGTGACATTGAAGGATTCCTATGGGTTTGGAATAATTGGGAGCTTTTCTTGACTATAGACCCTGAATTTAATAGTTGCAAAGAATTGCATTCACAAGAGGTGCAGTGCTTTAGGCACACCTATAAAAGGAGAGGTGCTTGCCATTAACTAGCAAGACAGTTTACACTTCAGTTAAAGCAGTGCCTTAAAGGAGCTAAGAAAGCTTAGTAGTCCTATCACATTAACAGTTACATTTTCCTGGAACCTTGATAGATGCGCTGACACAGAAAATCACCATATAATTGCTCAGTTGCTTAGACTGGATTGAAGATGGGATGCATCAATAGTCTTGTAGGCTTCACTTATGAGCCATATTGCACAATAGTAAAGCTATAGAGAATATTTAATTTGCTGCAGAGTTTTCTTTTTCCCTGCTGGAAGCTGATTGATACATTTTCTGTTCTAATTCTATTCTGTTAATACCAAATATTTATCAGTCTCACTGGTGGTGGAAGAAAAACCATCTTAGAGTAATGGAGGATCATTAAAAGCTATTTTTCTTTTTTTAATAAAATGTACGTCTAAACAAGCATTGCCATGAGAGATCTTAAAGAGCAGCCTATGATTTAAAGGTGTCTTCTATTCCTATCAGTTAAACACTAAAGAATGAGGAGAGCAAGAGGAAAAGGAAGACGACCATTCATCTTAACTGCATTCCTACTGCAGAAAGATTTCTTTTCTGTTTATCATCTGGACTCCTGATAAGGGTCACTTTTATTGTGATACCATTATACCTTCATGTAGTTTCACAGAAGTTGTAATGTTACAGAATGAGAGGAGGATTAGAGTGTTTTTCTTTTAGTAAAATAAACTAATAATAATAAAAGTCAATTGATAATCAATACATGAAGGCCACATCCCACACTGCATTTAGTCCTTACTCAGTCAAAACTCCCTTTGAAGGTCACTGGAGTTTTGACTGATTAAGAATAGTAAAATGTGACCCAGAGATGAAACCACTGTTCATATCTTGGACACACAGGGAACTTATTTACTGACAGAAGGATAACATTTGCATTGGACCAGATCCTAGCCCTAGAAGCATTGGTGGGGCTATGCACTAAGCAACTCTGTGGCATGGCAGACTCCACAGCCAGAGACAGATTAGGGATTTGTGGGGACCTCGGCCAGAGCAAGTGGGGGCCCCTCTCCACCCCATTCCTCCTGCAGTCTCCTCCTCGGCGCTCCTGCCAGGGAAATAGGGTTGGGGCAGGGGGACTTGTCCCACCCCACCCCCTGGAACTCCTGGCGGGGAGTGGGGTCAGGGGTGGGGGCTTCCCCCACAGCCCAGCTGGAGCACCAGGAGGGCAAGAGAAGCAGTGCAAGCCCCTGTGCCCCAACCCCACTCCCCGGCAGGAGTGCCAGACAGGCAGATCAGGTCGGGGCACAAGGGCACCTATTTTTTGGGGGGCCCCCAATTGGCCAGGGCCCCTGGACAT